GAGGAGAGACCCATCATTGCATCTAGATGGCAGCTTGCTAGCTTTTAAGATAGCAGTCGCTACTCGCCAAAGTAGGAAGTGGAACGATGTTCTGTATAGTATGTTATGCCAATTGAGCTTGATGTCTTGTGACTATGGTCCCAAGCCCGCAGGTTCAACTACTTGGTCCCTCTGGGTAGCTGGCTGTGACCAAGAAGTGACTACAAACTTGTCACTTGTCAGCTCTACTATACACCTGGAAATTCAGATCATACAAATACACTTATAGGACCATTGTCTGCCAACCCTATGCATATGTACTTGGGTACACTCCCTGCTTCATAGACATACCTAATAGTTCAGCCTGTCCTCCCATCTATCCACCTGTATACCCATGTTTGTCTTCACTGACAATGCAGTACTGTATGTGCAAAATGGTTCATCTTTGTGTCTGTACCTCCCATGTACCTCTCTATATCTTCCTCTTCCTCAATGCCACCATGTTGAGCACTCACATTTGGTACATTGCCCTTCTCTTCACCCAAATCAATACTTATCTCTACCCATCTAACAGTGTTCCCTCCCCTCCCCTCCCACCCCTGGTAACCAACAAAGAAAATTTCCTTCCATAGATAAACCTTTCTTTTACAATAATGGACTAATATAATATTTATCTTTCTGTGATTGACTTATTTCACTTAGCATAATGTCCTCCAAGTTCAGCCACATTATGTGGTGTTTTGCAGATCCTAGGTTATTCTTTAGGGTTGCATAGTATTCCATTGTGTGTATGTACCAAAGTTTGGTCATCCACTCCTCAGTTGATGGAAAATCCATAACTTCTTTCACATCAGATCCACAGTTTAAACATAGGGAAAAGATTCCAGCACCTTCTTTTCAAGTTTGACAACTGTTTATTGAGCACCTATTATGTTGATACAAAGAATATTCCTTGATCTCAATAAGTTTGTAATCTTCAGCATGTCCTAAGTAAGAAAGCAGTATCAACTAGAAAGAGTATTAGGAATGGCTTTATGGAGGAAGTAGGGGTAAGAGGTAGAGGAAAGGAGATGAAGGGGAGGGGTCACTCCAGTTTGCAGAAATGATAACAAAGGCTTGGAGAAGGGAAGAGCAAGGAGAACACTGGTCTTGTTAGAAGAATGAGTTCAGAGTGGGAGATGAGAGATGAGTTTAGCTGATTGTTGGTAAGGGGGTGGAATTGTAAGGGTGTGATAAATCAGGATGTGGCGTTTGATGTTAGTCTCTAAATAATAGGGTGCCATTGTGTCTCAAATTTTCTAGTGAGATCACTTTTGTGGATAGTACAGAGGATAGATCGGAGGGGTAAAATGGATGGCAGAAAGCCAAGGAAGGAAGCTATTGCAAAGATGAAGACACAAGATGAGATATAAGGGAAGACAAGACAAGCATAAGAGATATTTCAGTCACTCAGGGCTGGGTATGCTAGCTGGTGCCATATAAAGGATGCAACAAAAGAAGAGTCATAGATAACCACAGGATTTCACACCTGGAGTCTGAGGTTGAGGTTCCAGGGAAAGCTTGGGGTTAGCTATGGGGAGGAACAAACTTATCTTAAGCCGTGAGTTTCAATGATGGTGGATACATCTCACAGGCTATTTGGGAAAGAAAGGCCAGGACTGGAGGAGAGACAGAGACCACAGACTTGGAAGACAGTGCATTGGATCCAACTTCCAAGAAGGTAAACTTGACTGGTAGTTATTGAGAATTTCTAGAAGTCTTCTAGAAAGGTTCTGCATCCTGGTTACTAGCCAGTTCCTCTAATTAGAAGTTTTCTGATGGATTAAGACTTAGCACATAGTAGAAAGGGGACTGTAAGTCAGACCTTGACTCTACTACTGATAGATCATATCACCTGTCTGAGCCTTTATTTCATTGTCTTCAAAATAACAGGGTGACACCACGTAATGTTTCATAGTTCCAAAAATGTGTTGATTCACAGAGTGGTGAAAGTTAGAATTTCAAGAATGGATGAATGTATGGGTTTTCATGGGGAGAGGGCAGAGTCCAGGGCCTTGTGGGGAGATGTGTTAAGAGGGAGAGGGACCCAGAAAAGGAGGCGGCTGCTCCATCAGACAGAGATAGTGGCCAAAAGCTAGGAAAAGAATGATATCAAGGCATCCATTTGCAAGCCAACGAGGAGGGGGTTTACAGAGAGAATGATTTTTGACTTATTGAACCTCTAGGTGTGGGGTGGGAATCACTGGGAGGCAGGAATGGATGAGGAATTGGTTACAACACCAGATGAGATTTAGGAGCCAGAGAAGTTTTTATTGGTGTGGGGGTAATGAGTGGGATTGATTTTTGAGTGGAAAATCTTGAGCTGTAGTCACTTGTATTTATACGGGTTCGGAAGGAAGGTTGGGCAAGCTTCTTCCGTAGTGATACCACCTCGGAAACCCAAGGAGGGGTCACTGTGAGTCGGATCCGACTCTAAGGACATAACAACAATATTTGTATGGGTGTGGTTCATGGGAGAAAGAAGGGTTTCAGCTGAGCCCAGGAGCAGAAAGCAGGATAAGAGAATTTTATGTTGCATTAGTAGAGGTAGAAAGTCCAGCTGGAGGGAGGTAATACTTATGTTACCACATGGGCCTTGTGGTCAGTTTGATTGGCTTGCTCTAAGAAGGCCAGGCATACATTGAAGGACTAGCATGAGAAGTGTGGCAGTAAGAGAGACTGGGTGCCTTGTAAAGAAAAGGTTTTGAGGGAATGGTGAGAGTTGCCTTTAAATTTTTGTGAGACAGAGTGGTACAGAAGGAAAGGACACCCCTTGCCCTTTCTACTTCTACTGCAGGTAGAGCCGTTTCCGAAGGGTACTCAGGATTTCAGGATTCACTTTCCTCGCTTTCCCTTCTTGAAACAGCTCTGCTTCTGCCATACGCCGTGTCACCTGCAACGACAGGAGTGGTCAGCTTGGGGCTGGGTCTCCCGGGGAAGTTGGGGTAATAAGGCTAGAGAACAGAGCGGGTGGATACCCCTGTCCTGAGATGAGAAACCCTTTATTGCCCCATCCTACATCATTACACCCAATGTTGTATTACCCAATAAGCAAGGTAAGCCCAGGCTTGCTTTTGCTAATTTACTAATCTGTAGTGAACAACTTCACATTTTTTTTCCCCCACCAAATCAAAGATTCTGCTGCTAGGTACAGCTATCTCTCTCCCAACCCCACAGCACCTTCCTACCGAATCAAAGCCTCTTTTAAAGAATCAAATCCATCTTGACAGAGATGAGCAAGCAAGGTAAATATGGGTTTACTTGTGCTTATTTACTAATCTGTAGTGAAACCCATGTGAAATTGTTCACTGCAGATTAGCAAGTAAACACAAGTAAGCCTATACTTTTTTATTGGGCAATCCATTCCTTATCATATCTAAAAAAATCATTGGCTGGAATTCTTATTACATATATTTTTCTGATACACAATAAAACACACAGCCATTAGGAAAAAAAAAAAAAAGCCCTAACATTCGTTAAATCCAAAGGGTGGTTATGCAGGTACATATTTGTAGAAGTGACTCTGCATTTCCTCTAAATTATCTCACATACCAAGAACGTTGGACATCTTGGCATTGGGGGAAATCATTGCTGGTTGGTGAGCATCCTAGTGTCTGTGTTGGGACCCAGGTTAGATATGGGGTTGAAGGCATGAGAGGGGAATATGAAGAAATGTTTGAAAAGATTAAATTCTATCTACTTTCTGCCTGCTCAGACTAGACAGTGCTTCCAAGTACCTCCTCTCGACTCACCTCTGTTAGTAGCTCCAAGATGGGCCCTACCCTCTCAGTAAACACATCGACCAGGGTCTGGATGAAGCAGGATCCATTCTCGTCATGTCTATAGGAAATGTACCCTAGGGATCCAGAGATACCATGAGGAAGCAGGCTCAGGGCAGCGTCAGTAGTGTGGAGGGGGAAGGTGGTGTATCAGTGAACAGATGAATGAGTGGGTGGAAGGATGATTGGGCAGAAGGATAGGTGAGTGAATGGATGGATGGACAGACAGAGGAATGGGTGGGTGAGTGGATGAGTGAATAGAGGGATGGATGGACACATAGGTCGTTGAATGGATAAGTGGACAGATGGGTGGGTGTGTAGATGTGTAGTTGGATGGCACCTAGGAGGGGTGGCTCCTGAGGAGATTCTAGAGGAGAGGCTCAGGGCTGGGTGTGCTGAGTGAGGGGAAGAGGAGGAGCAGAGGCCAGGTTGCCAAGTGATCTGGTAACTCATACCCTCTACAGTGGAGTAGACATGTAGCGCATCCGTGTATGTTGGGATGGTTTGCGGGCTGTCTTCTGCAATCATCCTGATCTCACCTCCATCTACTATTTCTCCGAGGTCCCTTTGTTCTGAAACACCAAGAAGAGGAGAAGGCAAAATCAGAGAAGAAAAAAAAAAATGAGGAGAAAGAAGGCCACAGGATAGGTCGGTTGCACAAGGAAGGATACACAAGCCTTACTTGGGAGTTAGGCCTTGGATCTGGGATTTGAGTTGGTTATGAATAACTTTGGGCTCCATGCTATGGGTTCTATGTTCTTGGCTCTGTCCTCACCTCCTCGACAGGCCTGCACAATGTACACCTTGGGTTTCGCTCTCAGCGCCTGGCAGTTCTTGTTGTTCAGGACCTCAAAAAGGTCATCCAGCTTGACCATCTGACCATCCTCCCCCTTGAGTTCGCCTTCTAATCCATGTGCCATGAGCACAACGAAGCCACAGCTGACAGGGTCTGTCCGGGCATCCATGGCCTGCTGGAATTTATTCAATTCTTCCTGGAATTGCTGGAGGGAGAAGAATGGCCAGACTCAGGCAGAGCCCCAGAGCCCACCCTGTGGCTCAACCCCTTGCCCTGCTGATCTAGAACTGGAGGCACAATACCTGGGCAGTGGGATCTCTCTTCATGGTACTCTCAAATCCAAGCTGCCGGAACATGCGTTCCAGAGCGGCCAGGTCTTCTTCACAACCTTCCCGGGCTTTGGTGACACATAGTGTCAGGGCCAGGCGGGCACCCGACATATCATATGCCTCCTGAGTTAAGAGATGGCATAAGTCAACAAAGGAAGAAAGGTCAGGCAGAAGTAGGGATGTGATTGAGAGAAGCCTGGGGTTAGGGTTGCCAGAAACATTACAGAATACCCAGTTAAACTAGAATTTAAGTACAGCAATGGTTGGGTACCCAATTGCTAGGAAAGGATATCATGGTTGATAAAGTATTTGTCATAGCGACCCGACTCATAGCAACCCCTCCTTGGGTTTCTGAGGCGGTATCACTACGGAAGTAGATTGCCCCACCTTCCTTCCAAGGAGTGGCTGGTGGGTTTGAACCATCAGTCTTCTGTTTAGCAGTTAAGTGCCTTAGGCACAACACTACCAGGGCTCCTTGGTAAAGTAGAGGGTCAGTGAAAATGAGAGAAACTTTCAACGAGATGGATTGATACAATAGTCAAAACAATGGGCTCAAACACCAATGATCATAAAGATGGTGCAGGCCTGTGCATGTTGTGTTCTGTTATACGTAAGGTCACAATGAGTCTGAGCGAACTCAACAGCAACTAACCACAACAGCAATGATTGAGTAGAAGTATGTCTCAAATACCACTGGGAGGTGAAAAAGATTAAGTGCTTGGCTGTGCACTAAAAGTTTGGAAGTTCGAGTCCACCCAGAAGCATCTTGGAAGAAAGGCCTGATGATGTGCTTCAAAAAAAATCAGCCATTGAAAACTCTATGGAGCACATTTCTACTCTGACACAGGGTTTGCCCTGCATCAGATCAACTCAATGGCAATTCATAAAAACAACTGGTAATTGAGTACGGCCCAATACTTGTAGTACAAAATTATTTGTTGTTCATCTGAAATTCAAATTTAACTGGGTATTCTGTATTTTTATTTGCCAAATATGGCAAACCAGCCTGGGGTCTGGCTCCATTGCAGTCCCTGTGTGAACTGAACAAGTCATTATCTTTATCTGTGCCTCAATTTCCAAACATAGTCACTGAATGTATGAGAAAATTTGAAAGTCCCTTCTAGTTGGCACATTTGGTAGCTTTGCCTTTCTCCCCATCCATCCCAAGAGTATTCTGAGCATTCCCCCATTGCTTCCTCACTTGCAAGGATCTCAGAATTTTGGAACCGAATATTGAGATTCTTATCTCATCCTATCTGAGAATAAAAGGAGAGTGGGATCAACGTTTCTTTTTAGAAGAGGATCAGGATACTGAATATCAGTGATATGAGCTCAATCACTGGAAGCTGATGTGTCTGTCCCCTACCCATGCCCTTACCTGGGTTCCATCTCTGAGTCTGTTTTCCCATCTTCATGGTTAAAACTAGCCTCCAGCTCAGAGTTCATGTCCTTATTTTTCACTCCCTACACCCTCTCTGAAATATTAAGCTCCTCACCTCCACCCCTAAATACCCGGTCCTCCCCGCCTACCTCCTCCAAAGGCTGAGGTTTGCTCATCTTCTTCTTTGACTCTCAGTCTATCCCTCAGCCCTCTTGTCTGGATCCTGGAAATCAAGAGAAAAGAGGTTAGGGGTCTCCAAGGGAATAGATAGAGGCTCAGGAGGCAGGACAGTTTGTTTATCTGAATTTGTGAGACTGGGTAGTAGCTCAGTGGCCAGACTTGGTGCATGTCAGGGTCAGATCTGGGCAGGGGATGATACTCCATGAAGTGGGTCCTCTCTGTTGTGAGACTCCAGTGTTTTCTTCCATCCCCAGAACTCCTTCTAGGCATACCCCACAAAGTAATCCTTCTGGAGCCTTCCCGATCCTTTCCTCAGGACATTCATCAAACTGTGATGGACTGCTCTCTCCCTTGAAGGCCGTAAGTTGATGAACAGGACAAGAATTCTTATATACTCCCCTTGGTCACCCAGGAGCTGACTTGTTGGGGATGAATAACCAAGGAGGGGATGCTTTGGTGTTGGGTTTAAAATGACAATGTCATCAATGCAGGGAATACTACTTTGAAACTGTCTCAGTGAGTCTCTAATCAGAAGAGATCAACCAGTCTCCCTTCCTCTGCCTTGGACTTGAACATCTTTCCAAGTTCTCCATGCTCTTATCTAACTTCTGCTCTTCTTCTCTCTGGCTCCTGGATGGATGGGTGGATGGATCCATCCATACTCTTGGCATTTTTCCATATCCCTGACATTTTTCACACTTCTTCCTCAGCTTGGAATGTTCTTGAAATCCTTCTTCATCAGTCAAGATCCTATCCACCCATCAACCTGTCCAACCATCCATCCATCCATCCATCAAGGAGCCTGGTGGTGCAAACAGTTAAGTGCCTAGCTGGTAACCGAAAGGTTGGTACCCAGCAGCTCCATGGGAGAAAGACCTGGTGATCTGCTCCCATAAAGATTACAGCCAAGATAAGCCCACGGGGGCAGTTTTACTCCATCACATGGGATTGGTACGAGTCAAAATTGACTCAACAGCACCTAACAACAACAGCATACTTACATCCATACAAACACCCATACAACCATACCTACATCTACCCACCTACCCATCCATCAACTCACTCATCCACCCATTCTCTTATGCAAACATCTGTCCAGCAAATCTTTCTTGGATATCTTTAGTCTATGGCAGAGATGTATATTAAATCAGTCTCTGTCTGTCTCTGTCTCTCTCTAAACACACACATACACACGCTGAAAACCGAGCCAGTGCTGGGGGAAGAGGAACCAAATGACATGAGAAGAGAAGGAGGCTGGGCTGGGCTCAGGAGTGAGAGAGACTAGAAATGAGTCCTGCCTCAGCCCCTTCCCACCTGTGTGACCTTGAGCATCTCACTCTTCTGCTGAATCTTGGTTTTCCCATCTGAAAAGGACCTGGGAAGGGTGCTAGATGCTTTACAGCAGTGCCATAGCAAGGTAGGTTTTTTGATCTATGTTAACCCACTGGAAGTGGACTCCCCCTGTCCCGGAGTCTCACACCTCTGCCTGTTCATACTTGTGTTATAACAGTGACTGTTCATTCATATTTTCATGGCGGAACTGGCAGCTCAGTTTTCAGAACTGGAACTCTGATTTATTTATCTCTGTCTTCACTGGGGCCACCAGCATGGGGACAGGTACAGAGATGGTATTGATGGGAATTTGTTGAGTAAACAAATCAACAAATGGGCAAACAAAAATAAGGATGGATAGATGCACGGAAGGAAATTTCTTTAGTTGTGGTACAAACTGGTCAGAGCATCCATTGCTAAAGAGAAGAGAGAGACAGAGAGAATGCTAGTATCTGCCAAAGCACTTACCAACTCTAGATGTAGCTGCTCCTTAAGGCCAGGCTAAATCTCGCCCCTCTCCTACCTGCCAGCATGGGGCTGGGCACCAAGGAGGGGGCAGGCCGGTGCTGACCTGAAGGAAGGGGCTGGTAAAGTGGGTTCTTCCCAGACCCTTGCCGAGAGGCCGGTTTTTGAGTTGGGCAGCACAGCTGTCTAGCCCTTTATTGCCAGGGAGTTTTCTGTTGCTCCAGTAACCTCATGATAAATGTGACACACCCTTGGCACAGCCTTTGGTGAGGAAATGGAGCCAAATACTCATGAGACAAGTGAAGGCAAGGCTCAGTCAGCATCCCTGACTAAGGTGGTAAAGGCAGAGTGGCTGGTGGATTTGAACCACCTACCTTTTGGTTAGCAGCCAAATGCTTAACCACAGTACCACCCTTTACCACAGGACTCCTTGTGGTAAAAGTAGAGTATCCAAGTTAGCCAGAGTTTGGGTCCCAGCTCAACCATAAGGGTCTGCCACCTCCAGCTCTTGCTATCAACAATCCATCATCACTATTATCATTATGTCCATGCCCAACCATTCCACATTCAACCATGCAGATAATACCAGCATCATTACTTATCATCTCATTGAATCTTGGGAGACCAACATTGTTGCTCCTATTCTGCAAATGGGAAAACTGAGGCTCAGAGAGGTGAACTGACTGTCCAACCTCAGCTAACCATTAAGTGGCACAGTCAGGATTCCAACCCAGGAGGATCCAGCCCCAGAACCTGGATGTTTCCAGCTGCCTCAGCTGATGACTTCATACCTCCCTCTGCTTCTTTCTTCTCTTCCTATGACTTTTCTCCTTTATTTACTTATTTATTTATGGCTTTTAAATTTTTAAAAAAGTTATTTTAACAGCTTTATTGAGATAGAATTCACATACCTTACAACTCACTCAATTACAGTGTACAGTTCAGTGGTTTTTAGTATATTCACAGATATTGCAACCATCACCACAATTCATTTTAAAATATTTTCATCACCTCAAAAAGAAACTCTATCCATCTGTCCACCCATACAGCCATCTCTCAATCCATCCATCTGTCCACTCACCCACCCATCCATTCATCCACCCACCCATCCATCCATTCCCCTCATCCCATTCCAACCCTAGGCAAAAATTAATATACTTTCTTTCTCTATAGACTTCCCTGTTCTGGACATTTCACATAAATTAAATCATACAAAATGTGACTTTTTGTGTCTAGCTTCTTTCTCTTACCATTATGTTTTTGAGGCTCATTCACATCATCACATATATCAGTAATTTATTCCTTTTTATGGCCAAATAATATTCCACTACATAAATTTAGGGAGCTCTGGTAGCATAGTGCCTAAGGCATTTGACTGCTAACCAGAAGGCTGGTGGT